TTTCAAATTAGATTTCCTGAAACAGGTTGGACACGCGAAAAGNTCGCTCCACGGTTCTCACACATACACTCGGGCGCAAAAGCCTACACTAGAGAGGACATCCCGGGACGCCTCCGACACCCGAGTGTCGCACACAACATTCACACTCTAATTTACGTACCATTTTCCTGAAATCGACTGACAATGGCTAGCTATCATTGCGTAAAACGTGATTAAAACACGTTTGTATTTATAGTTATATGTAAAATATTAATAACTGAATAAACATATATGTAATTTCTGTAGAAGTTACATGTGCAAGTTGACTTGGAATCATTATTATAATTGAAAGTATAATTAATAATATAATTATACTGTATTTACTATGTATTGTTATGATAAATTCACACTTAAAATTAGTGCATAAATATTTTAAATATTTCAACTTATAATAAATGGAATAGATTAGAAACGACGCAGTTCCACATCCTAACCACACACACACATGCGGAAAATACGTCGTGCACGATATGCTAACACATTGTCAGTCGCTGAGAAATTATTTATGAAATTACAAACTATGGTCATCGTGCCCAATGTCTTTCACCCACCCAAGTAGCACCTGAGCACGTGAGTGAGATCCTGACAATGAACACGGAAAGGGTTAAACCTGAAAATCCTAAACTAAAAAAATGATTAATTTATACAGTTTGTATCTAAACGGACCATTATATCATTTTATTTCAAATTCTAATGACTCTACTCTTTCAGAAATTATTGAAATTGCAAGAGAATAAAGACAATGAACAAGAACTGAATTTATTAAAATAAGATACTATGAAATCTGACAATTGACTCGAACAATCAAAATCAAACAAATGACTCCAAATTAAATATTAATAGAAATAATCTCAGGCGATTTCTTCATCAAAGCACATTTTCGAAAATACGAAAACAGTATTCAAACTTGTTGCTTTGATTCAAAAATCTGCCTATCGCGAAGTATCTCCTTGCACATAAAATTTTATACATTTTTTTACGAAAAGAATTCTCATCTATTATACTTCAAAATCTAATGGAATTCAATCATTCAATTCTATCATAAAAGGGAAAGTGAAACTGGGAATTATTTTATAATAATTATTAATCAGTAATTATTATAACAAAATATATTATTCGTATTAATAGTAATAACTGCATCTTTCATAGAAACGAAGTCAGAGGGTATCTGACTTCTCTACTACGAAATGCTCAAATGAAATCATTTTAATAATGATGATTTATAAATATTTATTTTTTATTATTATTTCATATAGATATTAATACGGATATTTTACTTTTGTAATATTTGTAATAAATATATTTTGATTTTATAAACAATTACTATAAACGTACGCATCTAAATTAACTGTTAAAGTCGCGATGTGCAAGAAGCTCTATCCTGATCTAATTCATAAAAAACCTGAAAAAATGTTACTACTCACAGGTATAAGAAATACCCGCGGTCACTATGCTCATCAAAAATTCTACGTATACAACCAGTCACTCGTGCCGATTCGGACCTTTCGTCCTACGACATGATTGAGTGACCGGAGGAACATAAATACATGCGACTCACGTGATAGATGTGAAGATCAATGCTGCACTGCATCAGGAAAAGTTATCGTGAAGATCCTCATCAAGTAGATACCAATGAGAATTCCATGGTGGAAGTGAACGCCGTGGAAAATTTCTTAAAAAACATAAAACATATTATTTATAAAGAGACAGTGTTATTTGTGAAAATTTAAATTTTAATAATGATAAAAATTGAGACTAATAATTTGAAGTATTTTTATTTTATAGTTATAATTTTACATTCGACTTTAATAGAAAGAAAACTATAGAGAAGAGAATTATTTCAAGTACAATATCCTAAAGTAACTTACATTCTTAGCTTTTGAAGTATCATAAGATTTTCGGAGGATTAGGGGAAGTGGAGACGGTAGAATATCTGTAACAAAACACTGAACATTAGAATTTGTATTTAAAAGCAAAGCAAAATTTTAAGTTGCAAATAATGAAAGATTCTTACATTCTTAGCTTTAGAGCCATTGTTGGATTTTCCCCAAAAAAATTAATGCTGATGTGAAAGGTCTGTAACAAAACGTTAAACATTATATGTACTTGTTGAATTTGAAAAATTGAATAAAATGAAGTACAATATATAAACTACTTACGATCTTGATTTCCTGGAGAGGCGTTATCCTCTTGATTGCGCACTGATTATGCACTGATTCTAATACCGAAAGTATTGAACAAGATATATATAAAAAAAAAAAAAAAAAGACTATCAACGCGCGCGTTTAAGTAACAATCGGCGAACTCACTGACTCTAACTTCGCGAATTAAATTTAAATGAATTAATAATTTTATTTCATAAGAGCCATTTCGCTCAGACAAGTATTAAAATATTACGCAACAAACACTGGCTCTACCGACCGCATTGCGCGCGGTCACAAAAATTTTCTGAAAATAAAGCTGATTAGTAGGAGGAGGGCAAAGAGTACGTTCGTTTAGAAAATACTGCTATTTTTCTATAGAATAATTATAAACTTGAATATGAATTAAAGATATTAATTGGAGAAATTATAAAGTATTTCTCAATATTTGCAGAAATATCTGTAGAAATTGTATTCTGAATGTTCATTATAAAGTATGAGATATGTACATTAGTAGTATATCACGTCGTGTTATAAATATTCAAAAATATTTGCATAAATCAAAATTTCACAGCTAATGTATTTAGAAAATCATACACGTATGAAGTCTTGCTTTGAATCGTTCAATTGAGTGTCAACGTTCAAAAAAAGTAAGTATATTGTAGCAAAGTATAATAAAGTACGAAAGCTTTGGATTTAATAATCTAATACAAGAATATATATCCATTTGAAAGCATATAGCATTAAGCTACTACGATTTCTATATTCAAAATAAAATATTAATTGATTTAATCTTTTCTATTTTTATTCTTGTATCCCATATAATTACGAAGTTAGATATTGTGAATTGTATCTCAAATATATATAAATTATATAGCAAATGTTACCTAAGATGAATAAAATATTACCAACTTTCCATAAAACTTCATCAGATTGTTCATTAATGATAATGATCGTGGCGTCTATGCACTCTATGCTATCTTTGTAATGAAGGAATAACCTGTACATAAAGAAACCAAAAGTTAGAACAAATATGTCAAATGAAGGCAAATAATGAAACGATAATCAACTTTAAATTCTATTAAAAAAGCGTATGAGGCAAGGTACTGGTAATTGTAAGAGTGAGATCGATGATCGAAGAAAAATCTGTACGAGAAGCTTCAAAATTCTACTCGATTTTGTTAGTTTCTTAATGAATCGTCAAACACACGTATATTAATTAAATATACTATTAACGAGATGTAAATGGAAGTAAAAGAGTGTCGAAAAAGCGACGCTATCGAGTGGACGCCATCGATAGGTTAGGAAAAGTTACAAATCTAACACGTAACGCGTGTTGTTGTCTCGAAATTCGATAGCCGAATGACACACCGCGACACGTCTCGTCAAGCAATTGGGAAAATAGTAGAGGGGATAAGGTGATCCTGAACGAACGAGTTCGAACGATAACAGGACGTACATAAACATTCTGTTCGTGTTGTTGTTTCGAATTTCGAGACTTAAGGCCTACGGCTTACTTTATTTGAGAAATGAGAAATATATTATATTATGCACTAAAACTTATTTTAACTATTAAATACATACATTCTTAATGAACTATTGTTAAATTTAGTATTAAAATTGTTAAAAATTGTACAGCATGAAATTAAAAACTCAACAAATAAATATAAAATGTTACAATAGAAATGTATATGTAAAAGCATATAAAAAAATACATGTATGAGTCAATTACAAGGTTACAATATTTATATTGGTTAGAATTGAAATTAAATTTTGATATAAAATTATAAATAACGTTTAGCACAGTATGTTTTATTTAATAAATGTTTATATTCTACTATTCCTTCATTGTTGAAAATTACATGTAATGGTTATTTGGTTAAATCTTACCTCTAGTTGAAGCCAGCAAAAATACATATTTTATTTTAAAAATTCACAACACAAATACAAATATAACAAATGATTTAAATTTTTACCTAAGAATTTCTGGATAGCACTTTTTGAATGATTTTTCTGGATAATAATTTTCTTCTTTACAGACGAGATGTGCTTCCTTCCGCCATTTTACCCGCTTAAAGCTCGATCGTGAAAAATATCGATTCGAGAATCGTAGGAAATGTATTCCATACTTCACCGTAGGGGCGCTGTAATCGCGCATTTCGCACGAAATGTTAACTAGGAATAAAAAATAAAAAACTCTGGTCTAAATCAAAGAATTCATGGAAAATTCTTAAAAAAGAACGAGGAATTAAACACACTTAATGATAAATCGTTAATTTTAAATTGAGACATGAGAAATTGTATTATATTATACAGTAGAATTATTATTTCAGCCATTAAATACGTACATATTTAATAAATTATTGCTGAATTTAATATTAGAATTGTCAAGAATTACGCAGTATATGAAGTTAAAGATTCAATAAATGAGTAGAAAATGTTATAATAGAAGTAAAAGCATATTATATATAATAATATATAATAATAAGTCAGCCGTATTACAAGGTTACAATATTTGTATTGGTTAGAATTGAAATTAAATTTTGGTATAAAATTATATTTTATATTTTATATTGTATTTAACATGATATATTCTGTCTAAATGTTCATATGCCATTATTTCATTAATTGTTGAAGATTGCATGTAATAATTATTTGGTTAAATCTTACCTTGAGTTGAAGCAAGCAAAAATGCATGTTTTATTTTAAAAATTCACAACACAAATACAAATCTAACAAATATTGATTTAAATTTTTACCTAAGAATTTCTGGATAGCACTTTCTGAATGATTTTTCTAGACAATAATTTTCTTCTTTACAGAGGTGTGCTTCCTTCCGCCATTTTACCCGCTTAAAACTCGATCGTGAAAAATATCGATTCGAGAATCGTAGGAAGTGTATTCCATACTTCACCGTAGGGGCGCTGTAATCGCGCATTTCTCACAAAATGATAACTTGGAATAAAAAATAAAATAAAGAATAAAAAGTAAAAAATTCTGGTCTAAATCAAATACACAAAATTCATGAGAAATTCTTTAAAAAAGGACAATAATATTCACACACTTGATGAAAAATTGTCAATACCTTAAACTGTTATAATTTCTGTTAAATGTTTTATGCTTTAAAATGAGATCAAGTGAATATTTTCTTATATTTTCTTTCATAAAGTTATAACAGATTAAACACGACAATTTTCCATTTAGTTTGTGATTACTTTTGTCCGTGACTCTAATCTATTGTTGGTATTATACCAATTCTTGGTATAATATCGACTTCACTGATAAACGAATTTATTCATATACTCAATGATTTATCGAATGCCTTTTTTTTAAATTTTACCCACTGTTTGCAGCAAATATTGCAATATTAACAATTATTGAAATTAAAACCAAACTGAACAAAATTGTAGGAAATGTAGCATTTTAAACATTGCAGATAAATTCAGAATTTACTCAATGCTAACTCATTTTCTAACCAACGAGATTAATTACGTCTTCATTACTATAAATCAAATGTTATCATACCTTCACAAATTTATCACTAATTCTAGTCCTCTTGAATTCTATAATATCCCTTTTATGCTCTAACATTTTCTTCATAATTAATCTAAAACGAAAAAAAACCAAAACGTATCGTTGAATAAATTGACTATACATACGTAAAAATTTTTAAATAATTCTTAGTGTATTTAATCTTAGACATATTTGACAATTTAAATCAACTCTAAAAATTATTGATTATAGTTTGTACCTGATAATTTCTGGACGATTCTTCTTGCTGTGCTTCCTGCTTAAAATTTAAATTCTTACGTTACATCCCAATGTTCTGGATCGATTAGAAGAAATTATATCGATTGCGATTGGATATCAAAAATAGTTGCTAGTAAACTTCGATATTATTACGCGCCTATTTCAAAGATACTTATTTTAACTGAAACTAGTTTATTAAATAAGGCAAATAATTTATATATTATTCATAAAATTGTTTTTATTAACTACTATTTTGCATTTATGACTTTACGTTAACTTACTGCAAAATCCCACAAGATGCCACATCTACACCATATTTTATCTATGGTGATATCTATCCTTTACTCACGTTAGATGTCTCTACAATCGGATCACAATAAATGAAAATAAGAAATTAAATATTATTGTATTTAACTGTTTTTAACAATAAATAAGAATGCTAAATTCTGCCATGAACGAACGTGAAATTCAGTGCCAAAATTTAGATGACTTTACAAAAAAAATACATCAAGAAATTGTTGAAATTACCTCTTCTTTAAATTGGACGATGGAAAGTATAAAAGCTGATGTAAGTATTCTAATATTAATATCAATATCTCATCGATATTAAAGCAAAAATTACTTTATTTATGCATTTGTTTAGAATGATAATATGCTGGTTTGTCCATACGAGTCATCTCATCAAATTAGTAAAAAAATGCTATATCGACATTTGGAGTGCTGTCAATGGAAACAAGAAGGTTACAATGAATTTGATATTCCTCTGCCTGAGTCAAATTTGCCATCAAACTCATATTCCTCAATAAAATTAGGTATGTATTGAATTTTATAAGAAGCAATTTTTAATTCAAATAATATAATTCATAATGAATCTTGTTTTAATCATAGATTCTAAGATGCAAAACAGTATTTTACAACAAGAAAAAGAGAAACATCCAACCTTGAAAATTGGTTAGTATATTGCATATGAAATTTCAGTCCTGAAATTTTTACAAGTTTTAAATCACTCCATTTTTTGCAGCAAATTATGAATGTCCTACTTGGCACAAGCTCTATATATCCTTTTTCATGTTCTTTGCCACATATTTGAATAACATTAAATTCCTTATATTTCCTTATTTTATTTATGTTTAAAATGTATAGTTTCTTTCAAAACATGAATTCTTAACACTGATGATAGGTTCGGATGAGCGATTAATTCCAAGAACATCCAATAGAATCTTCACAGATTTTACGTGTGATGAGAGGAAAGTTTTATATGATTATGTTACTTCAAATACAATCAAGCCTGACATTGGCCATGATATTACAGATATTCAGAAATTGTAAGTTTGTACAAACAAAATGTACTTTTTGAGCCTTGTATACGAAGTATTTTGTAATATATTTAAACACTGTTTCAGAAAAAGCCAGGATAAAGAACATAAGAAACTATCCTTCTTGGAATTGCTTATACAAGAACGTAATTTAAAAAGACGCCGGGCTAAGCACAGGGGTGTGCATACAAATAAAAAATCTCATATAGAGGTTCTCAGGGAAGTTATACAACAGCAGATGGAGTTATATAGCGATTATGTAACAGAAACACGTACAACTAATTGCGATGAGAAAACTATTACCGAAGCTCAAAATTCTAATAATAGTCCTAATAACGTGGTCAACGAATTTCCATCAAAATATGGTGACGATCTTATAGAAGATCAGGAGGATCGTCGCGGTAATTGTAGTTCTCAATATAAGAAATATGAGCACTACGAGAAATCATATGCCACTTACCCAAAAGATTCAAAACAAAGAGAGAGTTCACGAAGTATAACAGAATCATCGAAAGCACAAAAGACAAACATAAAACATAAACATAAACATAAACGTAAAAGATCTCATTCGAAGGAACGTGATCACGATAGAAAAAGTAAACACGGATCTACGCGGTCACATAAAAAATCTCGTAAAAATGAGAAATCGTTCGATAATAATACCTATTCTAAACGAAGTAGTGATCGTCGAGAAAGTCATGAAAAACTAATATTATAATTATTAACCTTGTATGATTATTGATTTGCAAAATATTCTGTATAAATAAAATTATCTCCATATAACAATTTCTTCCTTTTCCATAGAATAGGATAAAGAAAATATATTATTTTTATTATTATCATTTCACCAACAATAAGTTAACTTACTAACCTTAATAATTATTATTATTTAACAACAATATTTTTTTACATAACTTGCTTTATTTGTGCTTGAGGTCTTTAAATTTTGGTTAGGTTCAGCTATGGTGTATTTTATTGCATAGCATATAGCGTAGAATAGAATATATTGTGTCCCATTGCATTTGACTATAGATATAGTTATAGTCCATTACGCATTACCAAACGAGTGCCTTGTCATTTGTCAAATCCAAGTACGTACAATATCCATGTATCATATATACTATACTTCTTATTTAAAAAGCTATTGATTTATCTTGTCATATTTGTATAACCTGTGGTTAATATACGTATAGTATGTACGCAGACGCGCATGTACGCGCGTATATTCAATAAGATTATGGAAAAATACGAAGTTTTAAAACAAGTGGGCGAGGGATCGTTTGGACAAGTGTACAAAGCAAAGAAACGATCTGATGGTGAAATTGTAGCCTTCAAAGTAATTCGGAAGGTAACGCAGTAAATATTTCACCAAGCTTCCGGTGATGATTGCTTGTTTAGTTTTATAATTTTGTATATTTTATTCGTTTCATACAAACAAAATCATGTAGCGTGGTAGATCATTCAAAGAACTAAAAAGTTTGCGTCAGGAATGTGAGATTCAACGTCATCTTCATCATCCAAACATAGTACAAATGCTTGATTCGTTTGAAACAGAAAATGAGGTATTGATATTGTTCTTAGAAAGTGTTTGCAGTTATGCATTTCTTACCAAGTATAACTAATCTTTTCTTCAGATAGTTGTTGTGACTGAGTACGCAGAGAAGGAATTATATGAAATATTAGGTAAAGCAGGTCGTCTGTCTGAACAGAGAGCACAAGTAATAGCTTGTGACCTTGTATCTGCACTCTATTACTTGCATTCCAACAGAGTATTACACAGGTCTGATATTTCATCTTTAACTATGTTTCCTGATAATAATAGTTATTTCTGCTTTAGGGATCTTAAACCACAAAATGTACTCTTAGAAAGCAATGGAGTGGCAAAGTTATGTGATTTTGGGTTTGCTCGCAGTATGAGTACAGGGACACATGTCTTAACTTCTATAAAGGGAACGCCATTGTACATGGCTCCAGAACTTATAGAAGAACGTCCTTATGATCATAATGCAGATTTATGGTGTGTTAATTTTTGTAAACAACTTTCACAATATTTAGCAAAGCATATATATAATATGCAGAACATTTTAATTCTAGGTCTTTGGGCTGTATTGTGTATGAACTAGTTGTAGGATCTCCACCTTTTCAAACAACTTCTATTCTACATTTAGTCAGATTAATAAGATTTGAAGCAATAAAATGGCCAGATTATATTTCCCAGAATTGTAAACAATTTCTACAGGTTGTAGCACCTTTATAAACCTTGAAAAGTTTTTATTTTAGCTTGTGTATCAACAACAATTTTATTGGTAGGGATTATTACAAAAGGATCCTTCTCAAAGATTAACATGGCCAGCTCTTTTAGACCATCCTTTTGTCAAAAATAGGATAGTAATAATAGGCGAAATTGGACCCACGCCATTCACTACACCTCTATCTGTGAGTCAAGCTAGGGAAAAACAGTTGCAATTACAAAATTTGGCAATGCAACCTACTGATCATCAGTCAAAGTATATATGTTATAAATAAGATCTAAGTTCCATCAAAATTTAATCTTCTCGTGAATATTTAAAAAATCTTTCCTCTAATACTAGTTTTAATTAGTTAATTCAAGAATTAATTATATTCTGCTGGTTCAAACTTTTGCTATTTTTAGAATTAACTAGTTAATACTATTATTGAGGCAAGAAACCTTTCATAAAATTGATCTTGACTTGTGAAATTGAGTATAGACATTATTTTCTTTAGAAAATAAGAATTTCATATAAATATAACGCAGATTTTTAGAAAAAGCTATTAAAAAGTTGCAAGAGCACGAAAGAAAGATTGAAGAACGTCACCAGAAACCATTCATATCGCATCCACGTTATCCATTATCACACGGATATTGCCATCATGAAATGAACCAATGTTACACTCTACGACATAGCGAGCCAAGCGGAACAGACTCCAGCACTAGCGTCGATGTATTATTAGGAAATCTTAGTTTAAGAGCATCATTGAAAAGTGATTTACTCTCAGCGGATCATGCATTATGTCGAAGTGATTGCCCAAATACTGGGCATTCAACAAATAAACAAACCATCTTAACGTTTGATCAGATGTCAAATATGAAATTACCTAATCATTTGAATGAACAAAATTTGAGACAACATCCGGAAGAAGAAAAACCAGAAAAGAACGATGGAAGTAAATTGAATCTCATGCAACAAATTGTTCCTCGAGAAGTCGAGACAACTTACCCTGAAAGAGACTGTGAAAATGACGAACACGCGTATAATCAAAAACTAAGTAACCGAAGACACAATTCAGCTAACATTGGAATATCATGTAACAACAGAATACCCGATTGGAATCCAAAAGCCGTTGATAGGCCGATCGAAAACGAAGAATGGATAGCATTTCTACAACGATCCATGGAGGAGATCATGGACGGTGAAGTAGGATCATTGCTTCAACAAAATTGTGTATCAGTATTTGTATCACCGTTAAGAAACCCAGCAGCTAGTTGTCGAGTTGTTGAATACGTTGCTTGTCTTTTGTCTTTGCCATTCGTCGTATCAGTGACGAAAGATTCTCTTGAGAAAATCATGCAAGTATACTTGGACGTTCGAGTAGTGCCAAACCTCGTTTATTCTTTGAAACTTTTAATGTCTGAACGTGCCGAATCTGAAGTGGACAAAAAGTCTGAACCGACAAATGCAAACACCAGATCAGCATCCACGTTATCCGCGGACGAGCTGCAAACCTTGGAATACATGATGCTTGTACTTTGCAGATTAGTTTACAATCGACAACAATTTCTCACTCAATTCTGCGACGCTGTTTATATCGTAAACGGAGTAACGTTATTGCAACAATTGTTAAGTTTGGAAAAGAGAAAAGCACGCGTAGTCATAGATCTTGTTGCGATTTTAAGCAACATATTGCGCTCTCAGCCAGAAAATGCTCATCTCGTGGAAAAAGTTGTATTACATTCGCATTTATCGGGTAAGTTTGTCAATACAAAATTATCATTCCTTTTCCCATTATTAGATGATAGATATTTTGATTTGGTATTTTTATTATTTTAGTTCCTTTTTATTTTGCTTCTTTATTTCTATTATGTTCTTTCTTTTTTATTTTCTATTATTGCTTCGTCGTAATGTAAAATATCTTTTTTCGCAAAAAGGAAATCCGATAGAACAGTTAGATAAACTGCTCACACATCGACAAGCAATAGTCAGAATGAGAACTTGTCAGTTGATTAGACTCTTGGCCAGGTTTTCTTGTAGAGCTTTGCAACAAGTCTGGTGTAAATCTCTGAAGAATTTAGTAGAAAGTTTAATTGTTGACAGTGATCAGTGTGTGAGGCTTGTAAGTAATAAAACTATGATTAAAATAAAACAGATAAGAACTTGGACCAGTGGTGGTTTAAAATGTAGGTTCGTGAATACATACGAGATATACTTTTAGGCCGCTGAAGATGCAATTAAGGAATTAAAGGAATTGGTGTACTATAATCAACAAAATCCTGTTACTTGATGCGTATTTTCCTTCGAATACTTTAATATTTCTTTTTTTGTACTCGACAACAAGAAATATGAATATTGTCATATTTTTTATCAAATTACCATTGTTTTTGTTTTTATTATTCAACACGGAGCTGAACTAAATCCTATTATAGTATCAATTTTTATGTTCCAACCTGGTAAATGACCAGTCAATAGATATATCATCCCACGAATCGTCTTTGTCATTAATTTCATTCATTTGTCGATTCTGACATTCCTCTTTGTACATTTTTTCCAACTTCTGTGTATCTTTGCCACTGAGTCCTTTTCGTTGACCAAGTTCCGCTTCTTCCTTCTGCATGATACGAAAATTATTTAACATGATTCTACGTGATGCGATCTATTAAGAATAGAAAAAATAAAAGACTGCGAACAGTATGTTAAAACAACTGTCTTTTAGGTAAAAATAATTTTAGGTTTATTATGGCACATACTTGGTAATAAAACTATCCTTGAATTTTAAAATTAAATTATAAAGAAAATTTCGAAAACTATTGTCTAATTGTTACAACAATTAAACCAAAGTACAAGATAGATTTAATATTTTTTTAAATGACGAAAGTTTCTGACTTTTATATACACATATTTAAATAAAAAGATATTAGATAATAGAAAGTTACTAAAATTATGATTTTCTTTTAATCAAACAGTCGTTTCAATATACTTAACAGACAGGGTAAGACTAACGAAAAACTCGAGAGAGGGTAGTAATCGAAAAAGACTATAAAGAATCGATATTCCACTTAAAAATCTAAATTTAAAATCAATCGAAATCAAATTAGTTTTTTAAACGTGCGATAAATTCATACCAAATTTACCTAATTCGTTCGTAGTATTTGACAATCAGTTCTATCATTAGCATTTAACGACGAGTAAGTTAGACAAGAGTTAAGTATTGGATTCGCAAAATTCAATTGCTGAATTACTTACTATTGGTATAATGGTCGGTTCATCATTCTTCGAGAACGCGTGAGAACTATAATGCATTACGCTCCCGTAATCGTAACTGATTCCATAGTCTGTGACAGTGTTATTGTCATATTTATTAAAATTGTGCTCCTTTCCTAAGTAAATCATAACAAGCCTGAATAAAAATCTCAACTCTCCAAGCTTTGCATCTGTTCATTCAATTTGTTCATCATCGAGATCACCGATCAATTACCTGACTGTATATTTTCCCAATTTATCTTGACCCATTCGTCACGATTCGCGGCACTTTGTTGATGATAAAAG